GATTGTGTGCAGATGTGCTTGGAGAGTGGCCAGGCGCTTTGCCCTGAGAGAACATGTGGTCTGGGACTGTTTACGCTGGCACTGTCTCAAATCAACCCCCACACAACATGTTAGGCCTCACAGGACACCACACACACACACAGATCTCTTTCCCCCGCTGCTGCTCAGGAGCCCTTCTGCTAACTGCGACATCAATCTTCGTGTCAATTGTTGAATGTGAGGTGCATCCATTCACCAAAATAAAGCAAATATATTTTAAGTAAAAACTTAATTTTGTTAAAGTTGGCATGAAATGAAAATGAACCTTATTTTCTAAATGTATATTATACATTTTATTGTGAACGATTCAACCATGTCTGTTTTCTTGAGGTTGTAAGTTTTATGCAATATATCATAACTGGATCTTCTCTCTGGTGACATATGCAGGACTTCTCCAATCAAATAATTTAGTCCACTTAAACCCCTCTCCACATTTTATAATCCAATCAACAATTTAAGGATTGAACCAAGTCCCTGCCCTACATTTTTTCTTTTTCAATAATCTGTTACTCTCCGATGTACATCACAATATGGAAAGATCTGTTGCTACTTCTGTTTCAGTGTGACTTTAAAGGCATAGTCTGTGGAAAAATGCCAATTCTGGCATCATTTACTCAAACAAAAAAACCCTTTGATTTACTTTATTCTGTGGAACGCAAAGGGAGAAGTTTAGCAGAATGTTCATGCTGCTCTTTTCCGTTCTATGAAATTGGATGGTGACTATGGTTTGTGAAGTACCAAAATGGAAAAAAGGCACAATAAAATTTGTCATGTGCTGTATTTAAAATTTAAAGAACAGTCAAATGTATTCAAGATTATCTTCTCGATTGTTGCATTTTATTCTTAAATCTCATTCACAAATGCATATTACATTTAAATACGTCACATCACAATGTGTTTAGCATCAAGTGATGATGAATGAGAATGAGAATGAGAATGAGAGAATGAGAGTTTTATTTGATTGGTTGTACTGTGACTTGACCACAATATGCCACATTTTAATATGTGCATATTCAAATTGCACAAATAAGATTTCAGACAATGGAGAGAAAGGTTTTCTGTGAATAATTACTTTAATTTCGTTCTGTTCCTGGCTAAGTCTATTATTTGACTTGACAAGAATATGAAGATGTATTATGGTATTTTGGGGATTTTTCTTTGGATTTTTGTCACTTTTGTAGCTTGGCAGCCCCTGGTTACCATTCACATTCATTATATGGATGCATAGTGAACATCCTGCTTAAAGGAATCATTCGCCCCAAAATTTGAATTAGCTGAAAATGTACTCATCCTCAGGCCATTCAAGATGTAGATTAGAGTTTGTTTCTTCATCAGAACAGATTTGGAGAAATGTAGCATTACATCACTTGCTCACCAATGGACCCTCTGCAGTGAATGGGTGCCGTCAGAATAATTGTTCAAACAACTGATAAAAACATCTCAATAATCCACAAGTAACCCACAAGACTCCAGTCCTTCAATCTTGTGAAGTAAAAAGCTGCATGTTTGTAAGAAAAAAATCCATCATTAAGGTGTTTCACATCTTGGATGGTCGGAGGGTGAGTAAATTTTCAGCAAATTTTTATTTCTGAGTGAACTATTCTTTTGAAATCTTGTGTGTGTGTGTGTGTGTGTGTGTGTGTGTGTGTGTGTAAGAAAATTGAGTTTGGAAAACATTAGGGTTCAGCCTTATTTTTGTGTGAACTATTTCCCTTTAATGAAACTCCTGGATGGGACCAGATGTTTTGATGCAGGATGGCATAATAACCCACAAATTCATATAGTGGCTCAAGATGACAAATCTAATGGCTCACTTGAAACTGGAAAAAAAGCACTTGCTTTACTCAAATTGGCGGCCAAATCTTGCGCTGGGTGCGTTTCAGAGACTCAGATTTTCACAGATGCCTAGGGGGAGGAGGTCATTAAGCATGCATGGTTGTCATGCTGTGTCAGAGGAAGAGCTTGCTGGATTTATACCCTAATGTACAATGAGCTTTATCACCACCCCCAAGCCTTTCTCCCAGTGAGGCATGGGGAATGAGGTTAGATACATGTTGAGGCACGTGGACGGCCAGACATCCCTGCTACACTACTCCCAGATGCTCCACATAGCCGGAATGCTGTTCTCCTTCCACAACATCTGCCGGTTGCACATCTTCCCTAAAGACTCCACTGGAATGAATGTCCTCACATCACAGACTGAGTCTCTTGTTTTGACCTCTCTATGGATTGCAGATGTCATTCAGATGAAGAATTTATTTTCCTTCAGTAGGATTTTTAAAGGGTTTGGCTTCACCAATGTTAAAAAGACACCAAAGTTATTTACCAAGATTAAAAACGGTCATTTAAAAGAACGAAATTAAAGTACACCGTGCACCAAATAAAACAAGGAAACTATACAAAAAAAAAAAAAAAAATGGCA